TCTCTACATCCCTTTACGCCCCCTTCATGATATAATTTCTTAAATATTTCCCCTGAATACATTTAGAATCACCCCAGTGTTATAATTTTTGCTTCAACAATTAAACATCATTTAGAAAATTCAGGAGGAGAGGGAATGTCTATTATATTTACCCATATTTTTTATTACCATGTTCTTTCCTTCTTCCCAATGTTTCAAGATTTCTTCTTTTATCATGTCCTTTCTGTTTAGAGAACTTCTCACCATTCTTTTAAGGTAGGTCTGCTGGCAACAAATCCTTCGAATAGTTTTCATTCATCTAAGAGTGTTAGGGTTTCCCCTTCATTGCTGAAGGATTTTTTGCTGGGTATAGGAAACCATGTTGACAGTCTTTTGCTTTCAAACACTTGAAAAATACTGTGCCAGTCCCTTCTAACTTCCATGGTTTCTGATGAGGCTTTGGCTGCCCTTTGAAATCCTTTCCTTTATAGGTAGGGTATTGTTTCTCTTTTGCTGTTTTCACAATTTTAATTCATTCTTAGTTTTCAGAATTCTGACTGGGCTATATCTTGGTGTGGATTTTTTGGGGCTTATTCTGTTTGGATCTGTCAGCTTCTTGAATCTTTAGATTGATGTCCTTTGGGGAATTTTCAGTTCTTATTTCTTTGAGTGCTTTTTCAGCCAGTCCTCTTTCTTCTCTCATGAAACTCCAATAATATGAATATAAGATTTTTTGTTATAATTCCTTAGGTCCCTGATGCTCAGGTCCTTTCCTTTCCTTTCCTTTCCTTTCCTTTCCTTTCCTTTCCTTTCCTTTCCTTTCTTTCCTTTCCTTTCCTTTCCTTTCCTTTCCTTTCCTTTCCTTTCCTTTCCTTTCCTTTCCTTTCCTTTCCTTTCCTTTCCTTTCCTTTCTTTCTTTCTTTCTTTCTTTCTTTCTTTCTTTCTTTCTTTCTTTCTTTCTTTCTTTCTTTCTTTCTTTTTTTCTTCCTTCCTTCCTTCCTTCCTTCCTTCCTTCCTTCCTTCCTTCCTTTCTTTCTTTCTTTCTTTCTTTCTTTCTTTCTTTCTTTCTTTCTTTCTTTCTCTCTTTCGTTTTTCTCTCTGTTGTTCAGGCTGGGTAATTTCTGTTGTTCTATCTTATAATTCAGAGTCTTTTCTCTGGCCCCTGTATTCTGCTGTCAACCTCATCCTTCGAGTTTTTTTACTTTGGTTATTGTATTTATCAACTCTAAAACTTCCACTTGGTTCTTGATATTTTATTTCTTTGTTGAGATTTCTATTTTTCCACCTGCTTTGCATATTCTTAATTGCTACTGAAGCATTTTTATCATGGCTGCTTCAAAATATTCATAACGGGGTCCCCGGGTGCCTCAGTCGGTTAAGCATCTGCCTTTGTCTCAGGTCATGATCCCAGGGTCCTGGGATCGAGTCCTGCATCGGGCTCCCTGCTCAGTTGGGAGCTTCTCCCTTCTTCCTCTCTCTCTTACCTCCCCCCTTCCCCTGCTTGTGCTCTCTCTCTCTTTCTTGCTCTCACTCACTCTCTCTCTCTCAAATAAATACATAAAATCTTTAAAAAATATTCATCAGATAATTCTAACATCTTTGTCACCTTAGTGTTGGTGTCTATTGATTGTCTTTTTTTATTCAGTTTGAGATATTCCTTGTTCTTGGTATGATAAGTGATTTTTGATCAAAATCTGGACATTTTTGGTATTATAAGACCTGGGTCATATTAAGTCTTCTGTTTTAGCTGTCTTCTTCTGACATTGCCCCAACAAGGCAAAGGATTGGGTGACACCCTATTACTGCCAGGTGGGGGTGGAAGTCAGAGCTCCCCATGTGGTCCACTGGTGTTTGATGGATCTGAGACAATTGCCTGGTGGGGATGAAAGTCCCAGCTTCTGCCTTGGCCTTCCCTGGCATCATCCAGGGTGCCTCATTATAGTCTGGTGAGTCTAGGCTTCCTGCTCATCTTTTGCTGGAGTAGGTGGAGATGGGACCTCAGTGTTTTTTGTAATGTTTGGCTAGAGTAGAGTGGTTACTGTCTATATGCTTTCTGTCTTTCTAGGCTTCCCCATTCCTGGATATTTGGCTAGAAAGTTTAGACTTCTGTAGGGCTTCTGAAAAATCTGTACCTTTCCAGGCTACTGCTTTCTTCTGTTCCAAGTCTGGGATCTATGAAACAAATAGGAAACCCAAGGAACTCACCGCCATGTTGTTCCTTATCTTCGAAGATCCCTAGGCAGTGTGACTTTTTCTCTCCACCTTTCAGAGTCTTCTTATGTTTGTTTTATATATAATATGTGGGTTCTTAGTTGCAGTAAGTAGAAGAATAGTGTTCATGCTATTTCTTCTGCTAAAGCAGCGTCAGAAGAAGGGGAAAGTATGTCTACTCCATCTTCCTGGATGACAAATACTAAATATGCTTTTACAACATGATTTTATTGCCTTTGGGGGTGATGGGAGGTTGGTTTCCTGCCTCCTGTGTGCTGAACCCATCGGAGATGCTTGCCTAGAGGCCTGAGCAAAGGCTAATGGCAGCACTGGCCCTCTGTGGGAAACGGGGCTGACTTAGCAACTGCGTGAAGATCAGATAAGGTTTCAGCTGGTATTGAGTTTCCCCCGGCAATACCAGTGGCAGGATGTGAAATGTAAGTGGCCCACTTAGGGGAGTTTTTAAAGACAGATACTAAGGATCTTGTCCTTAGGGGGAATGATTTCAAGAGACATCGAAGAATCTTTTTGTCCCTCCATGATTTCCCGAGAGTCCCTCCCTCCTGTGGTTCTGGGCAGTGAAGAGGGAGGATAGGGTGTGGGTCTTGTCCTTAGGAGCCTTTCTGGCTGTTGGGAAAGATTGGCACACACCTGGAACACACGTGGAAACATTGAGATAGAGCAAAAACTAGGTACACTTTGAGGAGGCTGGCCAGAGAGGAGAGGTGGATTGAGATGTGACCTGAGACGTTTCTCTGGGGTGCCCATATGGCAAGTTCACAAGGAAGAAGGGCCAGGGTGGGAGAAGGGTAGTGAAGGCCATGCAGAATGAGGGATGGCTGTGCATTAGCACTCATATAACTGTGCTGCAGAGTTGGCATTCACAGTGTGACCACTGGCTTTCAGCCCCTAGGGAGTGATCTCAAGGCCTGTGACAGCAGTCTGTAGTTTTGCTGAGACATGGGTCTGAATCATGTTTACCCTGACGCTGGTGTGCTGGAAGGAGTCCATTAGGGAGTGATTCTGGCTGGAATACTCTGCACCCTCATCACAACACAGCGTTGTGGATCTTCACTCATCATGCCTTATGAAGGAATTGCAAAGGGCTAAGACCTTTGTGCCTAGTGAAAAAAAAAAAATGAAAAGATTGCCAAATGCGGGCGCCTGGGTGGCTCAGTTGGTTAAGCGACTGCCTTCGGCTCAGGTCATGATCCTGGAGTCCCGGGATCGAGTCCCGCATCGGGCTCCCTGCTCAGCGGGGAGTCTGCTTCTCCCTCTGACTCTCCTCCCTCTCATGCTCTCTGTCTCTCATTCTCTCTCTCGCAAATAAATAAAATCTTAAAAAAAAAAAAAAAGATTGCCAAATGCTATTGCTGGTAGTGAAATTGAGACCATCTAAGAAAATGATTATTCTTAACTAGAAAATAGCTGTTTGTATAAACAGAGCAGGGGAGGTTGAACTTGGCAATTGCTTGGTTTTACAGTAGAGGCGTAATACTGGTGTATTATAATACCTAATACAGAACAGGGCTATAATCTCTGGACATAAATCGAAAAGTGGGATTGGCAAACTTCATTCAAGCACTCTGGTGAAAAAATTGCATTTTTGTGAAGGATACTATATACTGTGTCTATATTTGGGGTTTGGGAACTGTGAAGTGCTTGGGTCACATACTTTGGTGTTGCCAAGGCTCTAGTGAAATTCAAGTGTCTGTCCTCCCTCCTAGAATTGTGAGCTAGGCTTCTATCTTATTAATTTATGACCCCAGAGCCTAGCATAGTACCTGGGACAGAGTCAGCCTTTAGCAGAAGACTATTAAGTGAAGGATGGATGAATGAATGGGTAGGTCAGTGGACAGATGGGCTGACAGATGGACAAATATGACCTTCATAGCTATGTATGTGGGGTCAGAAGACCAGCCCAGAGAACCTCAGAGCTGGGGCCTTCGTTTTGTTAGGGGTTTGCATCCTCTGGGATTCATACAAAAAAGGGCTCATGAAATGTTTGCTATCCTCAGCTATCTGAGCCTCTGCTTTCTCATTTGTGAAATGTGGATTAGCATACTCCTCCCCAGGCTGACTGAGTGGATGAAGCAAGCTTCAGTGTGCAAGGAGATCTTTTAATGCTGTAAAGTGCTGTACTAGAGTCAGCTACCATGAATGGTGGCAATGCCATTATTTCAAGGTCAAGGTTGAGGTGGTGTGAGAGTACAGAAACAAAGAAGTTGGTGTGTGCAGGGCAGCCTGGCTGCACAGGGGAGCAGAAGACCTGCCTGGAAGGGCACAACAGAGGCCCTGGATTCCTGTCTCTAGCAGCCCTGGGAAGCCAGGCCACAGAGTCTTTTCCTAACCACATAAAAGCAGTTCAGCCAGGGTCCCTGATCTGATGCTGATAGAGTCCTGAGATCTCCCACAGATGAGGCTGTCAATTAAAGGTCTTCCTCTGCACCCCTGCAATCCAGCCTCCCGCCTCCCTGAGGAAGGGCAATTGAGGCTGTGACAAACCTCTCCGCCAAGATCTTTCTAGGGATAATTTGGTCAGGCTAATTATCCCATGTTAATTAGATAAGACTCAAATTACATGAGCCAGCCTTGCAAGCCCAGCACTTTGGGAGTTTTCAAGTTATTTTCCTGGTGTCTCTGATTTTGCTGGGAGAAAATGATTTCTTGCTCCTAGGCAAACTAAACCCACAAATTAGGGCAGTGACTCCATCCTGAGCCCTATAAAGGGGGAGCCTGAGATTGTAGGCTGGTGAATTGCATCTCAGCCAAGGGTTAGCATCTTATTCCATCTCTCTGGCCTTTCCAGCATGAGCCGCCAATTCACCTGCAAGTCGGGAGCTGCCACCAAGGGGGGCTTTAGCGGCTGCTCAGCAGTGTTCTCAGGGGGCAGCTCATCCTCCTACCGGGCAGGGGGCAAAGGATTCAGCGGGGGCTTCGGAAGCCGGAGCCTCTACAGCCTGGGGGGCACCCGGAGCATCTCCCCCCCCAGTGGCAGCGGGCGGGCAGGGGGCTATGGGTTTGGTCGAGGCCGGGCCAGTGGCTTTGCTGGCAGCATGTTTGGCAGTGTGGCCCTGGGGCCCGTGTGTCCGTCTGTGTGTCCACCTGGAGGCATCCATCAGGTCACTGTCAATGAGAGCCTCCTGGCCCCCCTCAACGTGGAGCTGGACCCGGAGATCCAGAAAGTGAGAGCCCAGGAGCGGGAGCAGATCAAGGCGCTGAACAACAAGTTCGCCTCCTTCATTGACAAGGTGGGACTTTTTGGAGCAAGCCAAGCATAGAGCCCCTTCCTTCCTCTACCTTCACTGTCCTCGGGGGACTCCCTGTCTGAACCAGAGGAAGGGAGGACACTCACTCCCCAGGATGCAGACACAGTGAGGACAGAGCAGGGAAGAACTGGACAAACCTGAAATCAGTGCTGAGGGGTTGGGGGTGTGGGGGGTCAGAGGGGCAGGAGGAGCCAGGGAGTTTGGTTTGGGAAGGTTTCCAGGAGGTCGGGGAAGTGGCCTCAAAGTTGAGAAGTAGGAGAGTAACAGTTTATGAAACTAGGAAGCCAGACAAAGGAGAGCTCCATGGCAGCCTGGGATATCTATAAAGCCATTGAGACCCCGTTTCTCCTCTCATAGGACCCAGATCAGCTCAGGTTCTGGTTGAAAGACAAATTCATAGCCTATAATACACCCAGTGTATAAGGTGAGGCAGATGGGGATCAGTGATGCACTAGAGCTGTGGTCCTCAAAAGAGCTCCCTGAACCAGCAGCATTAGGATCACCTGGGCACTTGTAGAAATGCACATTCTCAGGCGCCGCCTCATACTGAATTGTAAGCTCTGACAGTGAGACCCAGGAGCCCCCAGGTGATGCTGATGCCCACTTGAGTTTGAGAACCCCGAGGAAAAAAAGGGTAGCAGGGCCTTGGGAAATAGAGACTTCCTGAACTCAGGGGAGCAGGGGAAGCTCACCGGGGTGACAGTGAGTAGGGTGGCAGCACATGAATAGGAGTTCACTGGATGGAGGTGGGGAAAGGAAGCCTAGGGAGAGGGTCATCCCATGTAGCATGGTAGACTTGTCCAGAGAATGGGGAGAACTTGGCTTTGCGAGAGAGTCAGGTGAGTGGTAGAGGAGGGGAAGGAAGGGGTGGGCACATTGCGAAGAGCACAGGAGGCATTTGGATTTGATCCTGCTGGTGATGGGGAAACACCAGAGCACTTTGAGCAAGGGAATGGTATGGTATTGCAGGCTGCAGCTTGAGACTGCTGGTTCTTCCCCTGGAGAAATGCTCTGAGATCAGAGAGTTGGACATGAAAGCAACAGAGGAAGGCCCAAGACCCCCAGTCAGCTGAGTGCTTGCCTCTGGCTGGGCTGAGAGCTGACATGATGGAGGAGACAGAGAGGAGGCAGGGCACAGGCCAGGCCACCAGGCCCTAAGCAGGGGCGCCCAAGAGTGTGAAGGCCAGGACAGGCCAGCTTACGTGTCTAAGGACTTGCCTTAAAGAGGTGGTCCGGGCTGCTGGTGGATATTGGTTCAGGCAGATTTAGACAGGTACAGAGGAGACAGGCCTGGCTAGCGGGAAATGAAGATGATGAGGTCCTGTCCGATCTTAGGGGCTGCCTCCAGAAAGAGAACCTCAGTCAGACAAAGGGCCCTGGGTGGGGCAGGGCTGTGAGGGACATTTCCTAAGGGCTGAGGCTTACCCTTTAAGCTAATGTAGCATAGGAGCACACTGCCACTGTCCAGGAAAGGAAACCACACAGCCTCTCTATTGATTTGGGTCCCAGGTGCGGTTCCTGGAGCAGCAGAACCAGGTGCTGGAGACCAAGTGGGAGCTGCTGCAGCAGCTGGACCTGAACAACTGCAAGAACAACCTGGAGCCCATCCTCGAGGGCTACATCAGCAACCTGCGGAAGCAGCTGGAGACGCTGTCCGGGGACAGGGTGCGGCTGGACTCGGAGCTGAGGAGCATGCGGGATGTGGTGGAGGACTACAAGAGGAGGTGAGCGGGACCCCACACCTACAGGGTGACTGGCCTGCCAGAGCTGGGCTTTCCCAGCAGGCTCTGGGACACTTGCCTCTGGCCTCAGGGGCACTGAGCTCGGATAAGAGTGGCCCATCCCGAGTTCCCCTAGCCGGGCAAGATGAGGGCCCTCTCTGGATGGCCAGGCAGTCTGGACAGTGGAGAGTCAGCCTCTCAGGCAGTGAGAGGGCTGTCCTGGCAAGTGGCCACCTCCTTGGCGTGCTCCCTCCTGCTCCCCACTGGAGAGAGAGAGCCTCCCAGCTCCTAAGCTTGCTCAGTGGGTCCCCAAGTTCCAAGGAACCACCGTCCCCCTGCCTCAACCCAGCAGGGCAGGGAGTTGGAGTTTCTCTCATGTCCCTCAGGTCGTGGACATTTGGGCCACGCCCCCTCTTCCTGTCCCAGGGGATAGTTCTGGCTTCCTTAAGACTCATACTTCGAGATGGGGTGAAGTTATGAACAGGGGTGTCAGGCAGCTGGAGTGACACAAGGATCAGGGCTAAAAGGGGAAGCAGCATGTTCCTGTGATTTGCATACTTAATGGGAGGAGGAAGAACCTACTTACTCTCCAGGTATCAGGGGAAATCCAGACTCCAAATCATCTGGTCCCCTGGCCTGGGAGGGAGTTGCTTGCAAACCCTGTCTATAGCACTGGCTAAGTAGTCCTAGTGAGTTGGACAGATCTGCAAAAATATAGAATAATACCTGCTATATGGGACATAGTGTGGGCACCTCTTTTTCTGCTTTCATGATGAGCATGCACACACACACACACACACACACACACACACACACCCCTTGCTCACTGCAATGCTTTCCCTGCAGGTATGAGGAGGAAATTAACAAGCGCACAACTGCCGAGAATGAATTTGTGGTGCTCAAGAAGGTGAGGAAGGGGTGAATATCCCTCAGTCACCCAGACGCTGGAGTGTGGAGGGCAGGGGAGGGAACAGAGAGGAGACTGAGGTCTGTGCTTCTTGTAGAACGACCCAGAGCTGAAGTGCCCAAGGAAGATGGAGGGATGTACTGCTTGAGACATCTTGGGACACCTTGATATTTACCTAGAATATATCACCTTGTCCACTTTTTATATTTGGTATGAGTGGCAGGAGCCCAGGTTGTGTCCGCTTTGGCTTAGGAAACAGGACATGCTTTAAGAGGGGCTGCAGGTTTACCTTCCAACTCTGCCTGTCTCTGGCAAAGCGCTGTGGCTGTCCTGGGCTCTGACTGCTGAATGACCCCCGTGTGGGAGATAGTACTCCCTCCTAAGCCCTCTCTTTGAGAAATAGAGGCAGTAACAAGATTCCATTTTGGATGGGGTGCAGAGGAGTTCCAAGGCTCACAGTGAGTCTTGGGTGGAAGTCATGTTCCTGCTCTCTGGGTCCTGACTCCATTCCCTGGGGGCAGCTCGCGAGGGTTGGTGCTCGGATGCCAGTTCCTGGGAGAGCCCTTGTCTGAGCTTGAAGAATGGCGATGTCAGGGGGTCTCTGGATTCCTTTAGGATGTGGATGCAGCTTACATGAGCAAGGTGGAACTGCAGGCCAAGGTGGATGCCCTGGATGGAGAAATCAAGTTCTTCAAATGCCTGTATGAAGGGGTAAGGCTCCACCCCCCAGTCCTATCCCCAGCTCTGTCTTCTGGAAGGACAGACATGTGAATGAGTAGTTGGTTATTCATTCCTTAGTAACTTTAAGAGCCCAGGGGATCTCCAGCATTTGGATGCTGGGGGCCATGTTGATCAAAGGAAAGCGTGCGATTTATCCCGGTGTGCCCAAATGATGTGTGCCATCAGCCCCAGACTGGCCTCCAGATGTCCTGGTCTCACTTCCTCCAGGAAGCCATGGGTCCTTATGGGGTTCCCACTGGTCTTCAGCCAAGGATATTCTCATTTCTGCCTGTCTTCTCCCTGCCACTTGGGTGTCTCCCTGGGTCTTGAGCAGGAATCTCCAGGGACAGAAGTAGGGAGTCTTCACACCCTTTCTACTGCCTCTGACCATCTGGCTTCAAGCCTGAGCCTGTTGGCCAAGCATATGTGGGCTCCTGTGTCCTTAGTGTCTCTTGTGTGGTGGCCAGGCTGTTTTCTCACTACCACTACTACTTTCTCTACTCCTGACCTGTCTCAAGTGACAGACAGCTGGGCTGTTTTCTTCCTGAGCTGCTTCAGACTCATTCAACAGTTTTCAGATGTGGTATTGAAACATCAATGGGTGGCTTTGGGGAATGAAGCTTGCATCTATTTAGGAGGGCCTAGGGGATCTCCTGCTAGGAAAGGGCCATCACCTTGGCATCTTCTGCCCACAAAAGGCATTTCATGTTTCTTTTTTTCCCGTGTAGGAGATTGCTCAGATCCAGTCTCACATCAGTGACACGTCTGTCATCCTATCCATGGACAACAACCGGAACCTAGACCTGGACAGCATCATTGCTGAGGTCCGTGCCCAGTATGAAGATACCGCTCTGAAGAGCAAGGCCGAGGCCGAGGCGCTGTACCAGACCAAGGTGGGCTGCACACCTCCCCAGAGTCCATGTCCCACCATGTCCCACACATTTTCTGGGAGCACAGAACTGTCCCGGGTGTTGGGGAAAGCCCAAAAGGAGGAGAAGATGAGGCTCTTAGACTGATCCACTTAGACTGGGGCAGTCATGGAAGGACACTCACAGCCAAGTGCAAATGAATGTGGCATAGACAGAGTCCTGGATGCTGAGGAGACAAAGGTTAGGGGACCAGGTGGGGCAGGTCAGGGCTGACTTCCTGGAGGCGGAGGGTTTTGAACTGAGTCTGAGAGGGAGAGAAACATGGGTAGTTAGCATCTCAACTCCCTCATTAATTACAATAAATTAGGGGGTCTCTTGAGTGTGATCTAAGATCAGGTAATTCCTACCTTTCATTCAAGTCCAACTGCAAGGATAAAGGGGGACTATGAGTCCCTTAGATCTTAACTCCTCTAATGGGTCATGGGTGGGGAAACGATTCTTTAGATAATTTGGTTTCTCAGATCAAGATGGCAACTTCCTAATTGTTTCATGCTGTTTATCGGGTTCCTTCTCAGCAGAGATTCACACGCTTGAGGACTTATCTTGTCCCTCCCTCTGCCTCCTTGCCACCATAGGGACAGAAAGATGTGGCCAGTAGGGGTGAGAGGAAGGGAGGCTTTCAAGGCCCAGATAACAACACAAGCCAGGGCTCCTTGATAAAAGTTTAAACCCAAGTCTCTAGTCCCCACATCCCTACACGTGATTGCTGCAAGCCAGTGTCAGTGTTGGCCATGTGGCCCAGCCACTCTGGATTGTCAGTGGCCAGTGCTTAACCCCAGGTTCCTTCCAGAAGAATTAGGCAGGTCTGCACAGACATGATTTTTGGATCATTTGCTGTTTGGGGTTGTACACACCTGCACTTCTCCATCTGGAGGTAAGCACTTATTGACTAGAGTTTCATTAGTATAGTTCTAGCAACAGAATTATGAGGTCTTATTATTATCATTCCCCTTTCAAAGATGAAGAAACCAGGGCTCAGGGAGTGTTAGTAACTTGCCAAGATTACTTAGCTGGTAAGTGATGGAGCTGGATTTGAATCTAGATGACTGACTGCCAATTCCACAGTGTTTAGACAGAAGATCAGGACATTACTCTGGTAAGAAGTGTTTATAGTGAGGGTTTGGGATGGCCTGGGAGTGGAACGGAGAAGGATGCTTGCCTGTTTGCCTCAAAAGGAGGCTGCTTGGTGTCAGAACTGGGGAAGTTAGTGCCTCCCTCTCTGTCGGTGTGTAGGGAGAGCCATCCTGCTCACACAGCCTTGCAGAGGAGCAGAAGACCACCATCCCGCCCCCATGTTTATCGTCCCAAGATTAGCACCAAAGATAAAACACAGGAGCATAGTGAGAATCCCCCCTGCCTTCCAGGGGACCTGGCACCTTTAAGAGGAATCTTGAACCTAGGGCCTTGTTAGGGTCAGCTATGACAGCTTGCACCAGGAACAGAGAAAGGCAGTGCACAACCACCAGAGTTCTGAATGTCACACTTTTCCAAGTTCCTCTTAAGCCAGATTCTGGGGTAGAACTAAAATATTCTCTTTGACTATTCACTGGATGGCATCAAAGGCAGGAGTGATCCTGAAACTAGCAGATGATCTCAAATTCATGGCTAGCAGTGTTGGGGAATAGCAGAACCTGCCACCACACCACACCCACCCACCCACCCACCCACACACACACACACACACACAGTGTTCCTCATGCTGGGAAAGACTTCCAGTAGCCTGGAGCCCAGCTGAGCTACGAAGGAGAGGAAGTCACAGAGAAGACAGGTCCCTGCCATCCAGTCATGCTAAGTCTGATGGGGAAAACTCAGAATGGTGTGCTTGTAATACAGTGTGGTAAGATCTATGGACTGGAGTGCTAGGAGCTATGGAAATAGAAGTACACCCAACAGGCAGATCAAGGCAGGCCTCCTGGAGGAAGTGACTCGGCCCTGGCTGAGTTGGAACTTGCTAAGGAAAAAGGGGAAATGGGGGGGGAAGGGCTTACCAGGGGGAGGTAGCAGTTGGTGCAAAGACTCAGAGACTTGAGAGCACAGGGATGTTTAGGGAACATGGAACTGTTTGGCACAGGTGTAGAAACAAGTAGATGAAGGTGGGGCAGTGAAAAAGGGTCTGGAGAGACTGGTGGATGCCAAACCTCAAAGCACCTTGATGCCATGCTCATAGTTTGATTTTGACCTTGACTTTGAAGGGCTATGGGTAAAGGAGCATCACAGTCGGAGTTGAGTGTTATAAAGTTGCAGCGAGGAGAGTAGAAGGCTTTCAGCGGTTCTTATGGCCAAATCTAACCATCAGTGAGATGACTGTGCTTAAGGCAAACAAATAAATCCAGGGAGCAGATGGTTGAGTGGGAGGCTGTTGGTAGGCCTGGTGAGGTTGGGGACCCCCACCCACCTGTCACACTCTGAAGACAAAGGCACAGTCTGCCAATTTGAACTCAGCCAGGCCCTGAGTCAAGGTCTCTGCTTTGCTCCCTGTCCCCCTAGTTCCAGGAGCTCCAGCTGGTGGCCGGCAGGCATGGGGATGACCTCAAACACACCAAGAACGAGATCTCTGAACTGACTCGGCTTATCCAAAGGCTACGCTCAGAGATTGAGAGTGTGAAAAAGCAGGTAAGGGAGCTTTGGGTGGTCCTGGCTCATTTCCCAAGGGAGGAGTGAACTGCTTATCTCACATAACTCCTCTGGGACCAGGGGGCCCACTTTCTCAAATGGACCCCCTGGTCTCATCCCCCACACTTACCTCCCATCTGAAGTCTGGAGCAATTGGGAGGGTCTTTTCAGAAAGCCAAGTAGCTGAGAATAACAAGCCTCCCTGACCCATGTTGACAGGACTCCTTCACCATGGATGTGGCTTTGCTGTAGGAAGTGGGGCCAGACAGAGGAGGGTCCAACCACAGGGAGCTCACTGGGGTGAAGGGAGGTTCAGAGAGCCTTAGAGCTCAGGGGAAAATGCTACCTTCTGACCCTCAGTGCTCCAACCTGGAGACGGCCATCGCCGATGCCGAGCAGCGGGGCGACTGTGCCCTGAAGGACGCCCGGGCCAAGCTGGATGAGCTGGAGGCCGCCCTGCACCAGGCCAAGGAGGAGCTGGCCCGGATGCTGCGCGAGTACCAGGAGCTCATGAGCACGAAGCTGGCCCTGGACGTGGAGATTGCCACCTACCGCAAGCTGCTGGAGGGGGAGGAGTGCAGGTGAGTGGTGGGAAGGGTCTTAGAATGTTAGAGCTGGAAGAACTTTTGGAATCTTCTGACTCAGTTTCTCAGAGTGTGGGAGAGGTTGCTGGACAGCCTGGAGATACTTTTCAGGTCACGCACAAACATAGCTTTAAACAGCATCTGGTCACTTAATGAGGCAGCGATATCCTTTACAGGTCTCCTGTGACTTTCCAGACTATGACAGGGAGAAAGTCTCAGTGTGGTGCTGTGTCTTTAACACCACCCGGACCCTTGCAAATATCCCTATTACTAAAGAGACAGTAGATCCCAGGTTCAGAGCCTCTGGCAGACAATAATATCTAGCCCAAAATTTTCAAATTACTTTATTTTCATTATATTTATTTTTATTGCTACTTTTTTTTTCTTTTTTGGTCAGGTAGTGTTGGCTATTTGCCCTGGTGATATAAGACTTCTTTTTAGGAAAAATGCATTTTTTGTTATAAAACACACAGCCAATGAAAAGTACTAAATATATAACAGTGTGAGTTGTGCATGTTCATAGCAGCAATCAGACAGGTGTACATGAAGCATTGGTATGTGAAAAACCTTGATCTACCTGAGCACCCCTGTATCACTGAGACTCACAGGGGAGAAGTTACTGGTCTTAAAATCAGACAGTTCCTTAATGGCAACAGATGCTAATATTTCCACATGTGTATTTATTCTGGCATTAACCTCGCAGGAATAAAGAAATGGGATAAAGAGAAACCCAGAGGAGGGACCCTGAGGGGTGTTGTTGTTGGGAGCCCCAGGTTTGCAAGTTGGCACATCTCTGAAGTGGGAAGAGTAGCCTTGGGGGGCGGTGGTACCGAGCCTGCAGGAACACAGAGGCCGGCTGGCAGGCTGGAGGGGCTCGTGGAGGCGGGGCTAGGCTGGCTGCTGACTTCAAGCTGTGGTGTGGGGAACTCGGATTCCACGCACTGGAGATTCACCTACGTTTTTCTTTCCGCACAGGATGTCTGGAGAATACACCAACTCCGTGAGCATCTGTGAGTATTTCACACCTCTGAGGGTATATTTGTAGTCCATCAGTGGATACGAAGTAAGCGGGTGCCTACCGCCAGGCCCCCATGGAACAGCCTGGGCTCTGCCTGGTAGATCACTATGGTCACCATCGCCTTACTTGCTGAGACCTCTTCCTCTGTAGAGTTCCTGCTGCCAGCTTCCCATCACATTCTGATATTTCACAGGGGCCCCTTCCCCAGAAATCTCACCTATGCTGGGATGAAATCCCCAGTCCGCCCTCTTCTACCTCCCCCACCCCGGCTTTCCTGCATGACGGAGGCTGTGAGCTTCCTGAGTCTACCTCCGCACCGAGAGTGGAGACCTGCGCCCAGACCCGCGGCGCAGTGCCCGTAGTAATGTGGGCTCTGTAGCGTCCCGCCCAGTCTTCTTCTGAGACAGGCCAGCCCAACCTTCTCTAAATCAAGCAGCCAGGAAATTCTTTGAAAAAAATTAAGAATGTATTCTAAAGTTAAATGCAAGACCTGTTGGCTTATGTGATGCTTTGGGGGAAGCTCTTGCTATTGCTCTTGGTCCAAAGAATGAGAAGGTGCCTGATTGGGGATCCTGTGGGGTCTGGGCTATTTATTCCAGAGCTTGAGCCGCTCAGGCATTGAGCATACATCACTAGAGTCCATAGTTGATGTGAAGTGTTTGCCTAAGAGGGAGACATCTAGGCTAGTTGCAGCTGGGAGACTGGAGGGGACTTGGGGTCACCCCTGTCCGGGGACATACACTTATCACTCCTCCCTGCATCCCCCACAGCGGTCATCAGCAGCACCACGGCGGGGACCACGGGCGCCGGGGCCGGCTTTGGTTTCAGCGGCGCTGGCACCTACGGTTACCGGCCCAGCTCTGTCTCGGGGGGCTATGGCATGCTGTCGGGGGGTCGTGTCACTGGCAGTGGGAACTGCAGCCCCCGCGGGGAGGCCAAAACCAGGCTGGGGAGTGTAAGTGAGTTCAAGGACCCCCAGGGGAAGGCCTCTGCTCTGAGTTCCCCTGCCAAGAAAACCACAAGATAAAGGGAAAGTCCATTTCCCAGCCGTCCACCTCACCTGGCTCTTCCCCCGGACTCCTTCTCCAGGAAACTCCTGTCTCACATTTCTCCTGGTCTCCTTCTTGCTTTCCTTTGCCACTGACATTTCCTCTCTTCCCCTCCTGCCTTAGTCTTTCTGAATCTAGAATCAGGATTCTAGCCCATCCTTCTGCCTCCATACTAAGAGACCCCCTAACTCAGCACCCCCTTCCTGAAGCATTGCCAACAATGATGGCCCAGACCTTGCCCTGGCCTGCACTCCTCCCCCAGGGGAAGGTTTCTCTCAGAGGTGACCCCCTCCATGCCCTGGCTTAGGTCATTTGGCCACACGCTCCATGAGCTCATGAGATTAAGGATCCACCGACAGACACGCAAGGACTGTCTCCTGTTACAGCAAGCCTGGCTCAGGTGAAACACCAGGTTATAGCTTATATCTTGTGCAGCCCCTGCATGTATAGAGAATTGGGAGTAGCCCTGGGGATTTGTCCCACCTGTGAAGGGATTTGTGCCCTCAATCTGTGAGTTCTTGTCTTTGTTCAGGCCTTCCCTCCCTGCTCCCCACGTCTCACCGATAAACTTAATAAAACTCATGCAGGACCAGGCTGTTTCTCTCTCCCAAGGGGATCCTCATCTCAGGGCACATCTCTTCCATATGTGGAGGTCAATGTCCTGGAGCCTGGGGCATCGAGGTCTGGCGTGTTCCACAGCGCCCCAAAGTGTCTTTTAATCTGAGGGCAAGAGATCCTTACATGGACCGCAGGATCCTACTGGGTTTTGTGAGACTGGGAATTCATCTCTGACCACCATCCCCCGCAGATGCACCTTTGAGTCATGCTTTTCTCAGACCAACGCTCCAATGAGCGGGCGGTTTAACAGTGTGCAGATTATGGACAGGGAGAGGGAGGCAACACTTGTCTGTGGCAGGATTTAAAACTGGTCCAGAGGCAGCAGAGAGCGAGCTCTGAAAGCCTGGGGCTCAAGTTACAGCTAGTCCCTGTTCTCTGGGAAAAGGCCAAAGTAGCGTCTCTTTAAAGTAACGAGCCATGGCCCCTTGGTCTTTGGTGAAGTGAAAGTCTCTGAGCGTGAGTTGTGTTGAAGCATGGATGTCTCTGCAAAACACACCACCCAGCCTCCAAAACACTCTTGTGCTGAGAGACGTCTGCCAGGTGCCAAGGCCGCAGTGATGCTGTCAGGGACGCAGAGAGCCGGGGGAGTCCACCGCCCATTCAGGCTGGGACTCACAGGTGCTTCTGAACAGGGTCACTGTGGAGCCAGGGTGTCTTAGAGTTCAAGTCAATAGCTTTGGAGTCAGGTTCAGGCTCTGCAGCCAACTGGGGGTCAAGAGCAAAGCAAAGCTCTCAAGACGTTCACGTCTCATTTCTCTAGCTATAAAATAGGCAGACAAATCACCCGTGGATTATTGTTAGGCCAAAATAAGGTGACACAAACACGTCTTGTACAATTCCTGGCACAAAGTTCACACTTAATAAATGTCAGTGGAAACAGAATCTTGTCCTCAAATCTCTTTGCTTCAAAAACTTGACTAAATCTGTTCACTTAAAAGAGTGTTTAGTGCTGGTAAAGCAATTCAGAAGCTCCAAACTTTAAGGACACCATCTCATAAACTATTTGCCAGTTTATTTATTGCCCAAAGGAGAATTGCCTGGCAGAATAACTAGTCTCAGGGAATACACTCTCAGGGCCAGTAAAGAAATTGTGGTCAGGTCGCTGAATACTTACTGAATATCTAGCATGTGTCTGGCACGCGTTAGTGTTTGGCATACAGGGATATGCAAACCTGGTTCATGCCCAGTTGGTTATGCATCTGACTCTTGATCTCAGCTCAGGTCTTGATCTCAGGGTCGTAAGTTCAAGCCCCGAGTTGGGCTCCATGCTGGGTGTGGAGCCTATTTAAAAAAATAATCTGCTATGGAGCTGGGATTTTATGCTGTAGTGTTCACGGGAGAAGCCAACACCTTGGGTGTCAGATGGACCCAGGCTGGAGTCTTCCTCTGCCACTCACTAACTTCTTGACTTAAGCAAAATACTTCTGCTCCATGAGCCTCAGATTCTTCATCTGTAAAAAGTTAATAATAGAAGTTCCTGCATAAAGTTGTCATGAGAATTAAATTTAACAAAAGAATGCATGCGAATTATTTAATTCAGTACCTGATGTGTAGTATGTGCTCAAGATAGTTGCTATTATACCATAGTTACTATTAACTCTCTTAGTATTACTAGGATAGACTATTCTTTCAAAAAGCCTAAGTGAGACATGAAATAGAGAAGGTTTAAGAGCCATCATATTATTTGATGAACAGGAACTCAAGAGAAAAAGCACTGGCTATTAAGAGATATTTCTACCATCCGACTTCTGTGCTTGGATCCGGAATATTAACAGTGACGGCCTCAAAGGACAAATCCTAAAGTCTGAGTGGCTTAACTTAACACAACAGAGGTTCACTTCTCACTCACAGTCCACGGCCGATCTGGGCAGCTCCCCCACGTGGCTCTCCCAGCGGATGTCTCACAGACCTACGTGCTTCTGGCTCGTAGCCCTGCCACACGGGACACATGGCCCCCAAGGTTACCGGGACGGGGGAAAAGAGAGATGAAGGAGACACATGGGCTGCTAACTGCCTCATCCCAGAAGGGACACATGTCAATGCCACTCACATTTAACTGGCCGACATGGCCCCGAGTCCCAACCAATCCCCAGAGGAGGTTGGGAAATAAGAAGGAGAGTGAGGATACTTGATAGGCACTGGAAGTCTCTGGCACAACCTTCCTCAGTGTAGATCCCCAGCATCGGTCCCCAGCCCAAGAATTCTTTCCCCCGAGCGGTGCTGGGATGGATGGTGCTGGCACAGGTGGGCCAGGCCGAGCCAACAACCTGCCTTTGGCTTTGACAATGTAATGCTGGCACATTGCCATAAGCCAGATCTGGCCGTACACGATACTAATTATATTTTGTTCGCCTTCATGTTTTTCAGGAGATATTGTAAATCTGTTTGGATTTGGGAAATGTTAGTCTATCTAATGGCGAAATAGAAAGAACTTGTTCTGTGGCTCTTAAAGCACATTCCTTGAAACCCTGGTTCCTATAAGATATTTGGCCAAAAAGAGGGCTCTATGGTCAAACAAAGGTTTGGGAAACCCTGGATTTTTTTTTGTGTGTGTGACAAGAACAACACTTTATTTCTGATTCTAGAATCAGCCTACCTCCTCTTTCTTCTCTAGTTGTTTTTTTTTTATTTTTTATTTATTTATTTATTTTTAAAGATTTTTATTTATTTATTCATGAGAGACAGAGAGAGAGAGAGAGAGAGGCAGAGGGAGAAGCAGGCTCCCAAGGAGCAGGGAGCCCAATGCGGGACTCGATTCCAGGACCCTGGGATCATGACCTGAGCTGAAGGCAGATGCTTAACCATCTGAGCCACCCAGGCGCCCCGTTTTTTTTTTTTTTTTTAAAGATTTTATTTATTTTTCAACAGAGAGAGAGAGAGACAGTGAGAGAGGGAACACAAGCAGGGGGAGTGGGAGAGGGAGAGCAGGCCTCCCGCTGAGCAGGGAGCCCGATGCGGGACTCGATCCCAGGACCCTGGGATCATGACCTGAGCCGAAGGCAGACGCTTAACGACTGAGCCACCCAGGTGTCCCTCTAGTTGTTTTTTAAATAACTCACCTATACACTTGATCTTAGCCAAAAGGCCGAGAAGCGATAAAATAACTCACCTATAAAAACACTATATGCTCATATGAGAAAATTCAGAAATATTAAAAAGTAGAAAAAAAAACCCACCCTTATTTTTTAATGATCTCACTCCGCAGTCACTGTCTTTGGAAAGCACTGAGTTTTGTAGCATCCTTTGGTGCAGCTTTCCTAAGTGATCCAAAAGTGATGGATTTAAAAAGTCCTGCAGTACGAGGCCTGCTTCATCTTTTTTTTTTTTTTAACCCAACAGGGAATCCATCCCCACACTTTTTTCCTACACGATACCTATTAATCTCCTAAGAAGCAGTGTTCCAGGGCAACTGAGAGCCAGATTCAGCACAACATGTTCGCAAATCCTTGCTCAGAGGAGCCATCCATCCATCCTTTGTTGTTGAGTTCTGGTTTCAAAGGGTGATGTTTGTAGCTTTGTCTCCTAATCCAGGGGTTGCTTTCACCCAGAACTAATGGCAGAGGTAGTCACGGAGCCCAAGATGACCCAGTAAGCTGCTGTCAGAGGCAGTTGCCAGGAGAAGCCCTCCTCCCAGGCCTCAGCCCCCTTTTGATCTGCCCGCATCCCCACACATCCGATGCCTCTGAAACCTGGACGTGCCTCCATACTGGGTCTCTCCATAATCTGTAAGAAAGGTGAGCCTGGTGGTTCAGGAATTCCTGATTCATCCAGCCAGTCAACCCCTCACAGGAAGATAAGAAAAGGTCATCCTCCCTGTTCCCTGACCCTGGGCAGAAGTGGCTTGGTTCCAGAGGCAGATTCTTAAGAAGTTCCCAGAAAAAAGGAGACTTCAAAGGCTCTCTTTGAAAGGCAATCCTATATAAGTTTCTCCTGTTTCAATTTAAATACTTCCCCACTTTTCTCTTCTCAAGGACCAGAGTTAATAAACTCTCTCTCGTGCTTGTGGGTAAAAAACGGGCTAAATTTATGGGGCGTAGGAAGCAACCTCATGAAATAATGGGAAGCATAACCTTGAGCTTCTTGAGGGGCCCGCTGGTCACCCAGCTTCACTGACGTTGCCTCTCCCCTCTCCAGAGGGAATGGACCACAGTGTCTCCCCTGAAGCAGCATAGAGAGCCCACCCTCTTTCCCACCCGGGACATTCCAGACTCTTCTATCTGTTCATCTGTGGCTGCTGCCATCTCTATCACTCACCAATGCCCCTACAGCCTCGTTCCCTGTGGGGTAAACACCTTGGCTGGTATTACGCTCTGTGATTGGTTCCAGCGGAGACCGTGTCACTTAATTACCCCCAGGTGCC